AGACCTCTCTGTTCCAGATTGAAGGTGCCCTTTGGTCTCTCAGCCTGACGCTCTCACACAACCACAGCGGCTCCAGGCACCGGGTCCCCTCTTGGCGCACTGGGAGGGGGTAGCAGGACTCCATGTGCTAGCAACAAAGCAGGTAGGCCACAGAGTGGGGAACTGTACTCAGGGAAGCAGACACTCTGTCAAGGATTTAGGTGTCGTACTGGGCAAGCCACTCAACATGAGCTCCCAGTGCGATTCTGTGGTGAACAGGGCTAACGCCAGCTGTGATGATGCGGGGATTTTCTTGTTTGTTCAGTGGTTTGCATGCAGTGTGTGGGACTCAGTTTCCCTGGGTGTTGTTTGTTTAACGAGGTGGCACTGGTGGGAGAAGTAGTTTGTTGTTACAGAGGACCAGCGGTGACCTCGCCCAGGGCCGGCTCTGGCTTTTTTGCCGCCCCAGGCAAAAAAGCCTCCCACCGCCCCCACAGGGAGCGCGGCAGGGGAGGGGCTGGTGGCCGGAGCGCCGGGAGGAGGGCGGCGAGCCCACCGCGGCTCCCCTCATCCCGGCGGCCAGAGCGCCGCGGGCGGCCCCGCTCTCAGGCCGGAGCGCCGCGCCGCCCCCCTCCAGATGCCGCCCCAAGCACATGCTTGGTGGGCTGGTGCCTGGAGCCGGCCCTGACCTCGCCTGAACTGTACGGGGCTGAGAGAGAGCACAAGTCCTGGGAGTCAGTGACACCATCCATGGATAGATAAACAGAGGATGGAAAGGGAGGTGATTCAGCAGTGATGAGACTGATTTCAAAAATAACATTAAAAATACTGGAGAGGGTGCAGAACAGAGCCATATTTGAGGGCTGGAGAAGATGTCTTGTAAGGAGGCATTGAAAAGCTCAGTCTGTTTAGTTTTTAAAAAAGATTGAGCGGTGAGCTGATTGCCATGTACAAGTGCCTTCGCCGAGAGAAAACACCAAGTATTTAAAGGGCTCTTTGGTGTTGCAAAGACAGGCAGAGCAAGAACCATGTCTGGAAGCAGAAATCAGAAAAATTCTCATCAGAACAAGGCAGAGATTTGTAAGAGGGAGGGCGATTCATCCTTGGAACAAGCTGCCAAGAGAAGTGATGGATTCTCCATCTCTTGATGTCTTCCAGTGAAGACAAGATGCTTTTCAGGAAGGTGCTTTAGTCAAAAAGCAGCTATTGTGATACATAGGAGGCTGGGATATGCAGTCAGATTAGATGCTCTAATGGTCCCTTCTGGCCTTGTCTACTAATTTATGAAAAACTGATGTTTTATTGTGTAGCCAGCTCCATCCCCAGACTCAACAGTCATTGAGTGTGGTGATCGAGGGGAAACAACTCAAACACCCAACGAGGCTGGCCAGGGGCAGGACATCAGCTTTGAGGGGAGGGGTGGGGGTGGCACTGACATCACAAAGGCCTGTTGCAGGAACTCGGCCTATTGGGCAAAGATGGTGGGGAGGGGGTGACCTCACAGAGAGACCCTGATATCAGCCGGGCAGGACAGAGGTGCAGGGCCAGGCCAGTCTCTCAGACACCCCCGGCTTTGCTGCCACAAGTCTCCTTCACAAGGTCTCTCCTCGAGGACTGAGAGAGAATTAGGATTCATGGATGTGAGCATGAGGAGGAACCTCTGTGGAGTTTTCTCCTTTCCTACCACTGATTGTTTTCTGGCACAAACTTCCCTTTTACAAGGTAAGAGGCTCAGAGAGGTTTGGAACCTGTTCAGTCTGATCCCCCTGGTGCAGGCAGCATTCTAGGCCCAGAAAACACTGGCTTAAGGTGGCCAAATTTGATTTCCTACTAGGACTTTGATGCTTGGAATCCCTGGGGACATTGGGATTTATCCTTTTTGGTTTCCCTTTTCCTCTTTCCTCCCTCCTTTCTCCTCTTCTCTTGCTTCTTTTCCCCCTTTTCCCGGCTTCCCTCCCTCTACCAAGAAGGGGTGTGTGTGGAGTGTGGATGGGGTGGGGGTGTTGCTCTCATTGCGGGAGGTCCTCACAAAGAGGTGGGGCTGGATCTGAGAGTGATCCCCTCTGATGGTGACCTGGGCCGTCCTTTGGGACATCTGGTGAGACCTCTCAGCCTCCCGCCCCTCAGAGTCTCAGTGCCGATTGGCCGAGCAGGGGGCTATCGCCAGCGAGGAGACTCAGGTCCTTTTGGTCTCTTTTCAAATCAGGCAAATAAGTCACAACCAATCCAATGTATGGGATTAATCTTGCTGCTTCTCTCCATTAATTGTCTCTTAGCAGGTCATGATTTCCTCTAATGTTCTAGGTCTTCTAAAATACTTGCTGAATAATTACTATGAACCACTGTTGGTCTGTAGCTCACTTGAGAGCACTTCGAATCATAGAATATCAGGGTTGGAAGGGACCTCAGGAGGTATCTAGTCCAACCTTCTGCTCAAAGCAGGACCAACCCCAACTAAATCATCCCAGCCAGGGCTTTGTCAAGCCTGACCTTAAAAACCTCTAAGGAAGGAGATTCCACCACCTCCCTAGGTAACCCATTCCAGTGCTTCACCACCCTCCTAGTGAAAAAGTTTTTCCTAATATCCAACCTAAACCTCCCCCACTGCAACTTGAGACCATTACTTCTTGTTCAGTCATCAGGTATCACTGAGAACAGTCTAGATCCATCCTCTTTGGAACCCCCTTTCAGGTAGCTGAAAGCAGCTATCAAATCCCCCACCCTCATTCTTCTCTTCTGCAGACTAAACAATCCCAGTTCCTTCAGCTTCTCCTCATAAGTCATGTGCTCCAGCCCCCTAATCATTTTTGTTGCCCTCCGCTGGACTCTTTCCAATTTTTCCACATCCTTCTTGTAGTGCGAGACCCAAAACTAGACACAGTAGTCCAGATGTGGCCTCACCAGTCCCGAATAGAGGGGAATGATCACGTCCCTCGATCTGCGATTTATTCTGATCAGTCAATGTATGGAATTCAAGATGGCTCAAGTAGGTTGAAAGTCAGGAGCAGTGTTTCCTCTAATTTTTTATGTCCATGTGCGGAATGAATTTTGTTGTGTGCACCAATGTGGAGGTGAGATGTGACACATCACCTGTATATTGCTGCACATTAAAAAATTCCTTCTGCACATGGACGGTGTGTGGCAACGCTGCTGCCAGCTCCAGGCCCCAGCGCAGGACCATGGTGGCACAGCTGGGGACAGCAGCAGCGCTACCGGTCGTGCTCTGCGGGCTCCCGGCGTCACTCAGGGGTGGGGTGGGGCCTGGGGCGGAGGAGGGGTTTGCCCTAGGGCCGCACTCCCCCTAGGGACGACCCTGGCGGTAATATCAGGCCCACCCTCGTGGCAGGGCCAGGCTGGAACCAGGTAAGGCTGGGGAAGGGCAGGGTGGGGGGAAGCGGCGCAGGAGGGAGCCAGGGGAGGCCCCCACTGAGAGGGGGAGGCCCTCCCTGACCACCGCCTGCGTGGTGCTAAAGATAGAGCCGTGCAGTTTACCGGGAACTTTGGGGGGGGATTTGAACCCTGGACTCCCACATCCTGGTCGAGTGTTTTAAATGACCTAAGCACCTAATTCCAGGCGAGGGGCTCCCACGCAGACAAAGGTGTGTTTGATTTTTCCTTCCAAAGTGTTATAGGTTGCACTTGTCTCTGTTGAATTTCCTAGTGTTGATTTCAGATCAATTCTCCAGATTGCTGAGTAGAGGCAGTGACTGTGCATTCAGAGATATCCTGCGTATTTTAGAACAGGCCTGAAAAATCAGAAGTTTTTTTACTTCATGTAATCAATTCTTGTCCACTATTTCTACCCCAGTGTGCATATGTCTGGCCTAATGATTGTTGTGAGGGACAGTGTGATGACTGTCAGGGTGGGGGAGTTAAGGTGGTAGTGAGAGAAGAGCGCAAACCCAGGTTCTATTCCTTGCTCTGGTAAACTTTTTCTGTGGACTTTAAGCAAATCCTTATTCACTCTGTGCCTCACTGTCCTCATCTGTATAAAAAAGGGGATAACAGCCCTTCTCTGCCTCATACAGGTGTTGGGAAGGAAGTGCTCAGATACTATGAGGACAGAGGCTTTCTACCTACCTTGGATAGTCAGCAGTGCAGCCCTTTCCACATCAGCAAACATCTCACATTGGCGTTGTCCCCGGCTCTTACCATTTTAGCCCAATTCTTTCCATTCTTTTCTAACAGCCCCAGCTCTCAGCGTGCTGTGCTTGGATGAGAAGAGCAGTTTTCACTAAAAAATAATCTAGTCTAGCAGAAAATCTTGAGAATGAAACCAGAGTGACACCCAAAAGCTAAAAAACAAAACTAAAATGTCAGTCGAATAAAGGAAAATGTAGGTTTTGTTTGTTTTCATAGAATATCAGGGTTGGAAGGGACCTCAAGAGGTCGTCTAGTCCACCCCCCTGCTCAAAGCAGGGCCAATCCCCAGACAGATTTTTGCCCCAGATCCCTAAATGGCCCTCTCAAGGATTGAACTCACAATCCTGGGTTTAGCCGGCCCATGCTCAAACCACTGAGATTTATGTTTTAAATCTCATAAATCTGAAGCTTGGGGAACAATTTCAACATTTTCGCTTCAGCCATAAGGGCTAGAAACTTCCTTATTTTAGAAACTGACAGGCAAGAGTCTCAGGTAGTCACATGCTTCCAGGAGCTGGGGGTTAAAGCAACCCTAAATAGCCTAGACTCGTGATAAAATCATGAGAGTTGGTGACACCGGGCCCCTTGACACTGAATCCCAGCAGCCTTGGTGTAAATGGCAAACAGGCCTTTTGAACACTGATTCCTGTTTTAACCAACTTTTTAGCTTGTGAATGTAAGAGTCAGAGAGGGCTGACTGCAGGACCAGAACCTTATTAGCGCATTTTCCACAAAAGCCTCCAGGGCTGGAATGTTGCCAGGGGGCTGGTTCCAGCTGAGCGAGCAGCAGGAGTCGGTGCCAGGAAGGGAAACGCCCAGTTATTATTGTAGGAGGGATCACTTCCACTGAGCTCAGGAAAGTGAAACTCACCCAGTTACACTGCCCAGAGGGAGCCATGGCTGCAGAGAGCCCCTTGGAAAGTCTCCAGAATGAAGCTGCTTGTCCCATCTGTCGGGAGCTTTTTAAAGACCCAGTGGTTATAGGCTGTGGGCACAGCTTCTGCCGAGTCTGCATCACCCAGTGCTGGGAAGGATCCAATACGAATTTCACCTGCCCCCAGTGCAGAGAAACAGTTCAGCAGAGAAACCTCAGGCCCAACAGGCAGCTGGCAACTGTCCTAGAAATAGCCAAAGGGCTGAGTTTCCAGGCAGCAAAGGGAGCAGGAGGGGAGAGGATGTGTGGGGAGCACCAGGAGCCTCTCAAGCTGTTCTGCGAGGAGGATCAAACTCCCATCTGCGTGGTGTGTGACAGATCCCGGGCTCACAGAGCTCACACAGTCATTCCCATAGAGGAGGCTGCACAGGTGTGCAAGGTAGGGAATCACTGTCCTATCTGATTCATTCTAACTGAATGTTAATTACAGGTTAACTTTGTCAATAACTCACCCATCGGGACACCCTTAATTTCTCCCTCCTACAGCTGTGGATGTAACTGCATCATTAGGCTCTGTAAAGCCTTCACTGTATGAAAAATGATATGAAAAGATATGTACAGGGCAAGGTGGCTAATGAGGTGAAAATGAACACTTTAAAGATGAGCGATGTGGGAAACATTTCTCTAGGCAGCTGAAGCCATTTCAAATCTAGTTCCCACTAGTGAGATACGTCATCAGGGATCTTACAGCCCAACTGAAGCTGCTAAGTGATCAGTGAGGTTTAAATCACAAGAGCTGCAGGCTGAACTATCAGAGGGGTAGCTGTGTTAGTCTGAATCTGTAAAAAGCAACAGAGGGTCCTGTGGCACCTTTAAGGCTAACAGAAGTATTGGGAGCATAAGCTTTCGTGGGTAAGAACCACACTTCTTCAGATGCAAGTAATGGAAATCTCCAGAGGCAGGTATAAATCAGTATGGAGATAACAAGG